TATTTCATTTGAATGCTGGGTCCCCAAATTCTCTTTGCACCCCAGTTCACGTGGAATATTAGGCTGCCACGGCATGAAAGCTCTTGGTTAAATTTCCCATCCAAAGCAGGAATCCCATTTGTGCCTTCTGTTTTCTTTTTAAAGGGAAATTTTATTTTGAACTACTTAGCTCAACCATCATTTTCAACTATTTTTATTTTCATTTTATGGTGAAAAAAATCTCAGACATACAGAAAAACTGAAAGAATCACTCAGCGTGTAGCCACATATCCCGTCCTACAGTCAACAACTAACATTGTGCCTCACTTCCTTTTCCAGATTCTTGCCCACAGACCGTCCCTCTACATTGCCAAGTCAGTCGCAAACAACAGTACGCTTCACTCAAACACTCAGGAAGCATCCCATTAGTAGGAGTTTCTGTGCTTTTGTGCGTGAAGTACCGTGCCTCTTACGTGTGTCATTTGATGGCTTTTGACAAATGCGTGCATCCGAGTAAACCCTCTTGGGACCCACCACTGGACTGTGCACCCAACCTTATCGGGGCCCTGGACACAGCCTGTGCCCAACCCTTTTGGCCCCGGCCCTAACGGTCCTCCCCAAATGTCCTCTGCCACCTGGTCAGTTTACCCGAACCCCCCGGAAGCAGCTCGTGTTCTGGCCGTTAAACATGTAAAGTAGTTCAGCTTGTCGTAGAGTCTCACTTAGATACAGTCGTGTGGCGGGCGCTCTCTGCCCGACTCTGCTCACCAACACCGTGTTGCTGAGACTAAACAGCGCGGTCCTCTAACTGCTGATTCGTGTGACTGTCGTGGTGTTTATCCATCCCTGTTGATGGGCGTGTGGGTTGATTGCAGTTCTGTCTGTTATTGAGAGAGTGGAAGAAACAGACCTCGTCTTCAAGGCTTCGGTGCCCGGAAGCCAGGACGGTCCCCAGGTGCCTGTTATTTTGCAGGGCAGCTCTGGCTTTTAGGGAACTTTTTGTTCTTTGAGCTGAAATCTGTGTCCCTGTCACCTTGGCTCTTTGGTGCAACCTCTTTTGCAGTATACTTTTTTTAACGTTTGGTTTTGAGACAGAGAAAGAGCGTGAACAGGGGAGGGGCAGAGAGAGAGGGAGACACAGAATCCGAAGCAGGATCCAGCCTCTGAGCTGTGAGCACAGAGCTCGACGCGGGGCTCGAACTCACAGACCGTGAGATCATGCCCTGAGCCGAAGTCGGACGCTTAGCCGACGGAGCCCCCAGGCTCCTCT